CTAGGAGTTGGCAAGTTTTGAACTGTCTACCTCCTCCAACTACGACGCAAAAGGCGTCATAGGAGTGGCTAAGTGTATGGAGATTGGCGAGAGGTGTCGAGGGAGTCCAACCTCCCATTCGTGAGTTGATTTGAGCAACTGTCATTTGTACCACGAACGTCGATGGCAAGGCTTATGAAGCTACGAGATAATTTGTTGAAGTGTGCCACATTCATGCCCAGTGGAATCTTTGCGTCTTCTACCATTCAAGCCAAACAAGTTTACCTTCTCCACTTCCTGAATTCGTTCTACAAGCGCGTAAAAGTTGATTTATAGTTTTTTGCATATCACAATGTCTCTAGCAATCATTGAAGGCCTTCGACGAGGGCAAGTAGATGCTGCACCAAACCACTTCTGCGTCAAGCAGAGCACAAGGGGTATGGAAATGATCTCAGTTGTGGGCATGGCCCATGTCGGAGGTTTGATGAAGTAGGAAGAGGCGAAATTCCCGCCTTCAATTTGTGCCACCACGCTAAGCGCCACCCGCAATTACGCATCGAACACCTAAAACGTCACATTCATCTCCGTGTGACAGCTCAACATGATCCATCAAAGTGGTGAGATGGTGTCTGGGAAGCAAATCCCATCCATTCTAGGCTAGCAAAACAATGATCAACTCTCACAGCCTCCACCCTCACCGTTACTCCTTTCCTGAAGCACGTGAACTTGAGCCTCCTTCAACTGGTTCAACTAGTTTAAGTGGCTCTACCAACATTGGATGTATGACGGAAGTAAACGGATTGCTGAGCCCAAACGTTGAACCATGAAGTTGCATCAGTAGATGTTTAATAGGGTCTACAGACTTCGCATCCATCTACAAACGGTCTCACGGCCTTTTAGTGCATTCTTTTTCATGGGCGCTCTTAATTTTCTTTCTTTCAAGACAATTGGAGAATAAACAAAGCCGTTGAATCGGCGTCCATTAACTGCACCCTGCAATCTACGAGCAGAGGATCATGGGACACAGAAGAGTGAAGGAAGCAGAAAGAGTAGTAGACGACACAGCAAAGGCTATCACAGCGTCAAGGCGCATGTATTTCGTTTACTTCCTTTCGGACTGATGAAGGTGATCAGGTGTCGAGAGCGCACATCCCAGCAAGCCCGTACGGCCGTGGAAGGCTTGGAGGTGCCCAGTGCGACTTATTATTATGCATAATTAAAGCAAGCGCCTCCATTCCTTGCAACTCCTGCCCTCCTTTAGGCATCCTCCGCCTTGATTAATCGCATCCACAAAAGGAGGAATTTATAGGATGGCTGCTCCCCACTTATGAAAGCACCCATTTAAAGCTGGTTGTTGATCACAAGGATTCCTTTTGGCCCAAGATCCATAAAAGCGCACCCATACACCTGGCAATGCTTGCACAAGATGTCAAGCTGTCTTTTTTCTGTCAATTAGTTGGTTTCCACTGCTTTTGCGTACTCTACCAAATATTTGTTGGCCTCCATTTTCTTCAATTCGTCATAAAGCATGTCACTGCAAGGTAGGCCTTCCGCATTTCTTTTAAGTAAGCCAAGCCAAAGCAAATTTCGAAACCGCCTTTCTAAGCCCTCTTGTGGAAGGGGAGGATAAGGGGGGCGGAAGGAGGAGGGCAGTCGGGGATTAAATTTGGCCTTCGTTGGCCTGCCCTCGTGCCATTGAGACAGACTGATCAACAGCCATGCAAAGACGCTAACGCCAACAAAATTGTGAATGTTGACACAGTCTGACCTGTGTTATGTAACAGCCATCAGTTCTTGTGAGCGCGTAATGCAAATATTTATGGAGTGGTCATTGCTTATTATTCAGAGATCTTTAACAGCACAGAGAAAGAAACGACTACATTTACATCGGTCCAAAGTACTTTGACAACTACGCATTCACCTGCAAGGCGTCTTCACCATCCACAAGTGTTGCGGACACCCACACTCTAAGGCCGCCAGTCCACGTCAGAAGCCGCTTGGCCACGTGGTCCCCCCAAATCGGTGCGTTTCAACGTCCATTCCACATGGTCTAAGAAACCACACCCTGTCTACCTACTCTTTGTTCCCCCTTAGTCCTGTAACGCTAACCTCTCAAGTCATTAAAAACAACCATTAATTTGTCCAATAAAGTGGACATTTACCGGCTACTTGTTGCTTTGGTATCATTAAAAAGACTAATGCTCATTTTTGAGAGAAGATGGCTATAAAACTGTTCTCTTCAAGTGTCACGCAATGAAAGTTGACCATTAGTAACTGACTGCTTTCATCTTCCCCTTTCTAGGTAGTCCTTAACCAACTTTTAGTTGATTCATTTTCTTCTGAGAGAACCAGCAGCTAACTTGTAGAGGCGGAAAAAAAGAATTGACGAAGGAACAAACATCTTGGAAAGCACAAGACTTAGCAACAATCAACGTCCATTCACTTGACTGAGCATTTAGCAAATGAGTGAATCACATTTTGTTCTCATTCACTGGGTCTGAGCAGCGTTCACACAATAAAGCTAATAATTTATGCGTGTGACTTGTTTTTCGTCTCCCTATCCATTCACTAATTTTAGGAGTCTCTTTCCAACTCGTGATGCCATTTTATCCATTGCAAGCATACTAGGAAAGCAGCAAAACGTCTGTGCAAAATGGCACCGCCGTAAAATATTGATTTTTTAGCTATCTCTAATGGATGTCGATTTTTAAGTTAAATTTAATGGAAAAAAATCAATAATTAATTAAACGGTTAATTTTTTGACGCGCAGTCATCTGACCTTAAATCACAATGCGGGCCGTTTTAGCATTATGTCGCAATTTGAAACACGGCGCCGTGACCACCACCAAAGTGGTGCTTTGCGCTCTATGTGGGAGGCACGACGAATGCTTGCGCGCACGTACGCACAGAGGCACGCGCACACACGCACGCACGCGAGAAGGCGAGAAGGGCGGAATGAAAGCAGGCAAGGCCTTTACGACCTGTGCTCATTCAAAGTACACCACAGAGCGCACACACACACATGCACACGCGTACAAAGAAAGCCGCGAAGTTATTGCAAACTGTTGGTTGGTGAGAGTGAGGCGAGTGTTTGAAGAAGAAAGAAAGACATAAAGAATGGTGCACGGAGGTATCTCACGTCGTAGCTCGTTGTAATGGGGTCCAGTTTTGGGAGCTAATTCAGTACTTTTGAAAGAGAAGGTCAGGTGAGTAAGTTGAGTTGAACCCCCTGGAAAGGAGGCTAAAATCACATTACATTCGACACAGCTGCCCCAAGTCTATTAACTTAACTCTGAACCCGCCTAAATCTCTTGATCTACATTTCCATCCTACCAACTCATCCTTTTCACTTTGATCAACTCATTTCGTGTTCATTTGCTTTATAAGCATCCACCCACCTGTCCAATCCGTGCAATTTCAATTTGACTAAAATGTGCTATATGCCGTCAAAATACTGTTGTTTATTGATGGGCAGTCAGACATCTCATTAATGATCATGTTAATTACGAAGTATGGGGAAGGATAGATTACATTTTTCGAACTCTCCTTGTGATAGCAACGTGACTAATTCCGATCCTAAGCATCATTTGCCCTAAGGAGTGGGAAATTTTCTTGTGCTAGTTACGTCCGGCCTCAGCTTCCTCAGCCTCATATTCACTCATTTTAAACCTGGAATAATAGCTTGTCTTTTGTCATTTGTCGCAAGGTAATGAGAGTACGTGGTCTCGAAAGCGATAATTGTCAAGCCTCCTTCAATAGTAACAAATGAATCGTTCAATACAATGAAATTGTATCAGAAAGTCGATTCTTCGATGCCAGGCTCCGCAATGGTCTCTCAACTATTCCGCTAAGGTTGGTGCGTTCAACAGAACCTACTCTTCAGCCCGGCAAAGGTGAATGTGAACTCTGCATCGCAGACCAATGGTCCTCCGATGGTGGAAAATTTTCTTCCAAAGCCGAAAGTCTCAAAACTAAGAGAATACAAGGACGACTGTACATTAGTCATGTAAAGGACGCCGCCCTTACCGCTTGCAGCCACCTCTGGCTCTCTTTTGTTGACACCCTTTTAGGGCTAAAAAGCAGCAAATCATCCTCCAACCCAACATAAAATAAACTTCAGGGCGGCCATTTAGAAAATACTTTTTTCAAACCCAAAAGAAGGGGTTTAATAAACCTACGAAGCAAATACATAACTACAGTTCTCCGTTTTCTTTCAGAAGTCAATTATGGTGGCTAAAGTAAATTGCAAATATAACGTCGCTATTGTTAGATTGATTAAAATATTAAAATAAGCCATTTTTTCAAAGACAAACTAACGGTGCTCACAGTACATCACAGTGAATGGATTACTAGTAAAATAAACTGCGGCAGATGCAAACATATTAGTCGTACAGATTTTAAAAGTTTGATAATTATTATTTTAAGTTGTTAGTGGTATCAAATTTTGTAGGAACTTTCGATAAGCATCCATTTGTGCCGTGTACTTCGCTTTTTAGTGCCTAAAACCAGCAAAACCAACAAATTTCGAGCTCTCGTACTTTCTTCATTCATTGATCGGGTTTTGGAGCAAAAGAAGGAAAGGAAGGGCTAAAAGAGGGGAAAAGTCCTTTATCACCGTTCATTGACTGCACCCGATGAGATCATCCGTTCTATCAGGTTGATGGTTTTATCATACGCTCAGGTTCCCTGAAGCAGCAAGCCGAGTTGCTTTTTGGATCATTTATTACAAGCCTGTAGGAAAACAGAAGTCAGATTCGGTGGTGATTTCGCTCAAATTTTCTTGAAAATTGGAATTTTGTACTTCCAATTAGGCAAATTAGAGGATCCAGAATTTCATAAATCAAAAGCAAATAGCGCGGTCAAATTCTTCATTTTGATTGGTCTGTTTTGATGCGAGACACATCGGCAGCCTCGACCAATCAACTGCCAGTCAGCGCCACTCCGAGATTCGTGTCATTTAAACGCGTCAGAATTATGCTCCAGTAGCCGTTACCAATAACGTTGCTACCACCATCGCTGTTATGTCTATGCATATTGGTGAAGCAAGGCAAAGGTCCTTTCAGCACCCCCTCCGCCTCCTCTGTCTCCTTGTTTCACTTACAGCTATCTCCGCCACGTTTAATAGCTCTAATGACCATTCAGGTGGTCTCCCGGCGTTATTTTATCAGAAAAGATCACATTCTGGATCTATTTTAACATCCGCCTCCTCCTCTTCCTCCTCCTCCACCTCCTCGTCTTCATCCTCAAAGCTGATGTCAAAGTCCGGAGAACCAGTTGGTTCCGGCGGCATGGGATTATCTCTGTCCAATCGGAATCATATATCCCTAGGTCACCTGACCAAAAAAGAGACGCCTATATCCTCTCAGACATCAAATTTAGACGTGGAAACGTCTTCGTCACGATCAATGAGAGTTATGGGCCAACCTATAAATCCTAACATCGTTAGTCATCTGCATCCTGATGTATCCCCTCGAAAAATTCACAGACTCTGGCGTCTTTTAGGAGGAAAGGAGGATAAATACTGGACGTCCGAGGAACCACCCCGAGTACTACGCCAACGAGGAGTTTCTGGAATGCACTCCGATGCTGGAACCCATCCTCCTGGTGCAAACTCTATTGAAAGCAGTCTAATTCGCAAGGCCAATGCATTGAACATGACCTTTCGAGATCAAACAGGAGCCCAATTCCTGCTTCCTGAGACCCAAATCCAAATATTCCGCAACTGGTTGATTGAACAAGCCACTTGTGAGATGGACTTCATATGGAAGGATATGGGATCACTCTACTGGCCTCGCTGGATCCGTATGGGAGTCTGCCTCGCTCGACTTGGATCTTCTTGCTCTTGGCCTCCGGGAATGAAGTGTCAACCTTCAGGATCTCGAGTTTTGCGTCTTCTGAATTGGAATTGTGAAGATGCAGCCCAAGCTGAGTCATCAGGTGTTTCCATGTTGAGCAGGAAAACTCGATCTCTCCATCAGCCGACAATAAACCTTCGATATCACCTACAGGAGCCTGCATCCAGACTCCAAATCCGACAGCCTTATGCCCAACAAACATCTCCGATGTGGAGGTACTATCGCATGGGCAGGAGAAAGGGACGCCGTGACGCCTCAATGCCCATGGATCCAGCACAGCAGGAAGAGCAGCGGGCCCGAAGAGCCAGGCGATTGATTGAGAAGCTTAGTGTCACTGCCAGCGGTTATCGGTGTTCTTGGCAAGTTCAAAAGTACCTAATCAGTGACAAGTGTACCTGTTCTTGTGCATAGAGCTGCAAAGACACTCACACGCACTCACAAAGTACCAACCGAGCACCTGTAAACATGCGCATTTTGGTTCTCCTCTCGCTCCCCCTCCCCATCAGTCCTCCAAACAATCACTTACTCGATCAGTCAAACACTCGGTTTCTGACACCACCCTGACAGCAACAAGATTTACCATATTCCCCTGTTTTATTGGTTTAAATAAACAAATGCACATATTTACAAACTCGCGCACGAACCACACATTTGCATCAGTTTAGTTTCGTTTCCTTGTTGGTTAAATTATTGCTGCAATGAATTTCATACCAATCGAAAAATTTGCGAAAGATTACTTTTTATTTTCTTGTTTTAATGCGCCGTCGCGCAAAAAACGCGCCGGTCATAAATGGGTGTCCAGAAAGGGTGGTAAATTTCGGCAATGCAGCTGGTGTTTGATTTGGCGAGTAAAGTTGTCGCCATTTTACCTTTACAAAGTTACTTTTCAGAGCCATAAATAATCAAACAAATTAAAAGTTTATTAACGGTCGACTAGGAAAATTTTCAGGTCGATTTTCGCCGCAAAATTTCACCTAGTTGGCAGGTGACATTTTATTTTAAAGTTACTGAAGGCGATCTTGAGTCCTGAAGGGGCTCAAATGTTGTGCGTGGGCTCTACACTCATCAAGTGGCGGTCACCGACCTGCCACCTTCCCAAATTCAATTGGCAATGATGAGGAATTTGATTAACCCGCTCCCTCTCCCCTCTTCCCGCCCACATCTCCGCCCCTCCCCCCTGGTTGTCATTACTTGTCCCAAATTAAATCTCCATCGTTTCGTCTTTGTGCTAGCAAATTGGCGAAGGAAAAAAGAGCACAATTCATAAAATGCTCAGTACAGGCCTAAAAGTGAGCAAAAGGCGTTCCCTTTGAAAGGCAGAGATAAGTCAGAAGGTCTCATTTTCGCTGTTTAATGGCGGCAGTAGTTGAGAATGCGATTACGAGAGACAACATTTTTCAACGTCTAATGGTGGTGAGGAGGAGCGGCTCGGCGCCTGCAATGAATTAATGTTTTACGGAAGCACTTTGCAGTCCGCAAAAGTGGCGTTTGCTTGAGCACGGAAGCGGCAGCAAGAAAAGTAAAGGTGAAACTCGATTTTTAAGCCTTTGAATGGGCACATTATCTTCCTCTGTGATGTGGACGCAGGTGGTAGAAAATTTATACAAATTGTGGTGGTGTTTTTCCCACGCAAAAAATACGAAAAGACTGTCATATTCTTTTGGAAGTTGGGACTGCATCACCTCGTGACGGTAAAAGGCACCGGAAATAACCAAAACGTGCGGACAAAGCATGCGTCCACAAAGGGACTTGGTTACTTGAAATAGATTTTGCCCCAGTCGGTGAGTGTGTGTGAAAGCGATTTTAGTAGCACCGTGGCGGTCCACGACACTCCCAAGTGAGGAGTGAAGGACCGTGGATGCCCTCATTGGCGAGAAGTCTTCGGTCGAGGAGCTTCTTGGACGCGCCTTTTTCTTGCCCTGACACAAGCAAGGTAAATCGCAAACTACCTCATTGCCTTTTGAAAGAGTGGGACTAATTTTTTTGTTTTTCTTTTGCACAAAAGGTTACACAAGCGCATGTACACGCAACAACAGACCGAGGGATGATTATTTACCGCGAAGAATGAACCAATCCACAGAGGATAAACAAACATCAGGAGGGTTTGAAGAGATTAAACCAGTGGCATTATTTGACATTTGAAAAAGGTCAATCCGATGAATGAGACTTATGATGCGGAAATCAGAGAGTGGCGAGGTGTCTAGGCGCACAGGTGGTGAGAGGAAGACGCCATTCCACCGCTGTGGGAAGCGATTAGTGGTGTACTTCGTGTGTCAGACTACGGCGCCTCCTTCGATTGCTCTTCGGTGTCAGTCGTTGAAGGAAACGACAACAGCATGTTGAGCAGGCGCCAGGAGGGTGGTTAGCTAAAAAAGTTCCTAAAGCTTGCGGAGTAGGAAATGAGTGGTTGATTTTACGAACTGCTAATGGAATGCTTTGTTCTTCTCGTTGATGCCTTTTCGAGTTAAGTGGTGCGACTTGAGTCTGCTACCTTGGTGACACAAAACCACCACCAGTGCCAGCCGAGGAGTTGAGTAGCACACCTTCAGTAGTTCGAGGAAAGTGTGGCGACAGGCATCACCTGAGATTTGGGTACTTCAAGTTGGTCATGTCACTGAAGTTGAGAGGTCAAGAGGCCTGAATTATGACGCCGCGTCCACATTACAAGTGGGTTGAAAAGTCCATGACGGTTACCACCGAGGAATAGGCATTCGGTTTGTTGCCTCAGCTGGTCCTATGTTGTCCGATCCTTGAGATCTCATTCCGTAGAAAATCACCTCAGCACATGTCTGCTTCGTAAGTGCTTTTAAAGGATGGCAGAGGGCAGCATTTTCACCCTCAAGGCAACCATAGGTTGGCAGTCGACTGGAAGATGGTCGCACCCCTAAACAGCAACTCAGACAGCTTGGCAGCGCCGAGACAGAATTTGTTTGCAATTGGGAGTCGGAGGTACCACCTCAACTCCACTTGTATCCTCCACCATCCTCATGCGATGGGTGTCACATTTGTCTGGCGGATTGTGAAAAATTGCCGCATGGTCAGATTCGAATGCTGACTAGAAAAGGCATTGGTTTGACTTAGGCTAGTTTGGAGTTCTTTTGACCTTTAGAGACAAAACCAACGACTTTCCCTTACATAGGAAAGACGAATTGAAAAATTGTGCAGAGCAGTCAAGGAGACGGTTAAAAAAACAACTCCGAGGCAGAAGCAGAGGTGACTAAGGCTGGTTCTTCCGCCATTTCTTCGCTCCTAGTGGGAAAATCTTTTGCAAGAGTGGACTGCAAAGCACCAAGGTTTGTTTGGATTTCATTTTGTCGCTCCATTTTCCTTCTGCTACTCCTGACCTGAGTGATATAAGCAAAGGTGTCAGGTGGTCAATTATTCCCTCCTTGTGCCTCGTCTTCGTGAGCAACTCGAGCCCCTTCACCACCGATACAGTTAGAAGTACGGGAATGAGAGTGGTGGCGGCCGCGGCAGACCGCTATTAACACGTTTCCCCAGTCCCCACATTCATGAAGCCTCCCATTAGTCGTCTTTCATTGGCGGCGTTTTATTGCATTGTAACGAGGCGTTCCATCCGATCATAAAACCGACATTATCGCTGTAGTGGAAGTGGCCTTATTCTTCGCCGGAGGTAAAAATGTGTCTGAGATGCCTCCACTAGCAGATTCATCACTAAAGCTTTCGAGTTAACCTCAAAAACGAAATTATTTACTGCCATTATCGATGGTGAGAAGGGTTGGGCAAACGGGCCGGAGAGAAGTGGTATGTGTGAGGCGAGCGCCTTACCAACGACATAAAGACCAATTTTTAAAATTAAAAAAAATATTTTAACTTCTCGTGGGAGCATGACAATTCTCGCGTCTGGTTGAGGCTATCAAACTCCCCACCACTCAACGTGGGTGCATCCCGTCCGTCTGCAAACCCACGGCGAGCACGAAAGGCTTTCACCTCCTCCACCATGAAGTGCGTAGTCAATTGGAAGAATTGCTGGGTTCTGTCAGGATGGAAAGATAAAATTTCAAAATTTGACACTCTACCACTTCGTTTCGTTAATATTTCAAAAGAAAAACACAGACGGCTGATTCCCTTCAAAACAAGTGAAACTTTGGAATGATGATGGGCGGATACTGAAATGATATTTAACAATGATATTTTTGACGTGTAAATTTGAGCTTTTGGAAGAAAACTTTGACGTAACTCAGTCGCAGAAGGCAAATTTTTCTTCCCTATTTTCAAATGCAAAAAGGATGTTTGCACTTGCTAAAGGTGGCCTTCAGTTGAAGCTGCATCTGCAGGTGCGGAATGACACCCGCGTCCTTTTCCCTCAAAAAAATTTATCTACAAGACGATGCCTGGGTCCGAGTTTTAATCCAGCTTGGAAACTGCATGGCGAATCTTTCTTCGCCATTATTTTCCATGTGTAAGCACGCCTTTCTAACAAAGCATTTTAAAGTAGTATTATAACATTTGCCAAGACATTTGCAAGGAGAGTGAAAATGCCACTAAATGCATTATTTGGCGCTTGTTTAAGAGAGCATTTAGTCGGACTTTGCACCCGAGATAGGGTCTGATCTCAAACTAATTAATGACCTGGAAGCTTTTCATGATTAATTAACACTTCCTTGGTAGTTACTTATCAATTTTTTTCACAAAAGAACAATAAAAGTACTATTTTATCAAGATACTGCTATTCACCCTCTTTATTTGCATAAAATAGCATTTTAAACTCCGTGCGTCAACTTTGGACGCTTGGTTCGCCGCTTTAAACAAAAGAGCTCACAGTATAACTTGAGAAAGACACTTAAAAAGTAACAATAAATGCACCAACCTGCACTCGCACTGGCATAAAGATCCTTTAGGTATGAAATCATTTCTGAAAGAGAGTAAACTGTTACGTGAGAAAACTTTTCGAAATTTTAAAGATAAAATGAACAAACGCGTTTGCATAATCGCATAAAACTTTTGCGATCATTTTATTAGAACCCGAGCATTATGAATAGTTGATGATAAAGCAGACAAAGTGAGAGAAAAAGACATTTTTTTGCTAAAAATTTTGACAAACATATCTTGCTCGAAACAAACGAATCCAATGTCTTCCTTAGTTCCGAAGCGGTTTACAGTAATTTCAACGGTAGCACAAATAAAGACCTTTTTCGGAAGGACAGTGCGCATCGGGAACGGCCACCTCAAATCGAGCACTTAGTTCAGCTGTAAGGGTTGCGATACGCTTTCGAGTAAGCAGTAGGTGCGGAGAACGCCCAACATCTCCTTCAACAACGACAGACATTGCAAAGGGGGAGCTGAGCACTTGCGTTTGCTGTGCCAACTCCCGACTCCATCGATATCACGAATGAAAGCCTTGGGGATTTTATCTCCATTTTTCAATTTTTTAAATCCACTAACATCCGCTGTGCAGGGCGCCCCGATGAAGATGGAATTTGTTTTATACTATGGAAAAGCCCAGTGCAAAGTTTTATGCATTCGGTCTAATTTTTTCGGTGAACGAGTAAGGTTTATCAAATGACCCCAAAGTTGGGAAACCGCTTACTACTCATAACAACTATTTGATCACAAAATTGCTCCTCTAATCATTTTAAACAAAAGGATGCTGGTTGTTGTTGTAATTAATGTATCAGTACCACATACAACTGAGTAAGTGGCA